CGTCTAAATATAGGTGAACATCTGCAACATGGTGCAACACATATAGGTGTACTTGTAAGAACTTATCTCGATCAGGTGACATTCGTTTCAAACCGATTGTGCCATAACCATCAAGTCTCCCTTCGTGTCGAGAAGTAGGAATACCAATAGGTTTAGCAACGACTATATAGTCGGCCACAAAATTACCGACCTCCTCAGCCACGGTCCCTTGAATCATACTTCCTTCCGGGTGAGCCCGATTCCTGACTTTATCTTGCAATGTACCCATATGTCTTTCAAAAGGATAGTACCACCGCATGAACACTGGACCGCACAACTTAATCTCACGCACCAAATGAAGAATCAAATGCACCATTATGTCGAAAAATGAGGGTGGGAAGTACATCTCAAATTTGCATAAAGTCACAACCACATCTGCCTGTAAAGAATCAAGTGTACAAGGATCAAGCACTTTGCTGCATATTGTATTGAAAAACGAACAGAGGCTTGTAATAGCTTCCCTCACGTGCTTTGGTAAAATACCACGTATTGCAATTGGTAGGAAAACTTGCATTAGAACATGATAATCATGGGATTTCATACTTGTCAGCTTCAATTCTCCATTTAAGGATACAAATCTTTTCATGTTAGATGCGTACCCTGATGGAACCTTAATGCCATACAGACATGCACAAAACATTCGTTTTTCTACCCTTGGCAATGTGTAGCAAGCCGGAGGTAAATAGGCCTTGCCCTCCTTGGCTTTTCCCTCATTTTTCTTTTTCGACGCATCCGTGGTCTTTCCCTTTCCCTTGCTCTTCCCCTTTCCTTTTTTCGAACTCAGTTCATTTTCCTCTTCCTGTTCCTTTCCCTTGCTAACCCTTTGCTGAACCCACAATTCTGGACGCAACCCCATCTTTTTCAAATTGTCCCGTTCACCCTTTCCGTCCTTTGTCTTGCTTTGAATATTCATTAGCGTTCCCACTAGAGCATCACACACATTCTTCTCTATATGCATTACATCAAGACATTGCCTAACGTTATATTCTTTCCAGTGCGAGAGCAACTAAAAGATTGATTCTTTTTTAAAGAGAGCAGTTGATTCCGCCGCTTTTTCTGATTTCCCAAAGACTGTTCGTACACCCTTTACTCGAGCGTAAACCTCCTCACCAGTCAACGGCCTAGGAGCAGTCCCCTCTTCCGCTGTCCCATGGAAAGCCTTTTTCTGCCTACGGTACGGGTGATCGCGCCTGAGCAACCTTCGGGTCCGCAAGACACCTCTTTGTGAGAATGATCAAGGCGCCTGCTTGGCGTATCATCAATACAAATGGGGCATGTTTTTTTCCCTTTATTCTTATACCTAGACAAGTTGCCATACGCAGGAAAATCATTAACGGTCCACATAAGAGCTGCACGCAATGTGAACATCTCATTCTTATGAGCATCGAAAACAGAAACCCCTTCGTCCCACATCTTTCTCAAATCATCAACAAGGGGCGCAAGATAAACATCTATGTCGTTTCCAGGTTGCCTTGGCCCCGATATCAAAAGTGAAAGCATTACGTATTTTCGTTTCATGCACAACCAAGGAGGCAAATTGTAGATCACTAATAGTACCGGCCATGTGCTGTGCTGAGTACTAAGAGTGCTAAATGGATTCATCCCGTCCGTGCACAAACCAAGCCTTAAATTTCTGACTTCATCACCAAATTCTCCAAACTTCATATCAAGGTTCTTCCATTGCGGGGAGTCGGCTGGATGCTTCAGCATTATGTTTGTCTTTCTTCCCTCTACATGCCACCTCAAGTTTTTAGCGTCTGTTGGTGTTGAGAATAGACGCTTAAACCTTGGAATAATGGGAAGATACCACAACACCTTAGCAGAAGGTCCCTTTGTACCAACATTGCAACTCATGCGCTTGTAGCGCGACTTCTTACATCTTGGACACTCCTCCAATTGTTCATATTCATTTCGTTAAAGAATATAATCATTAGGACATGCATGTATCTTCTTATACTCCAAACCAAATGGACACATTAGCTTCTTTGCATAATAGTAAGACTTAGGAATTTCATTCCCGTCAGGCAACATCTCACTTAACGCGGTCAACAAAGAAGTAAAACTACTGTCCGTCCACCCATGCTTTGACTTAATGTTAAACAGTGTTAGCACGGCTGATAGTTTGGAGTATTTTTTGCACCCAGGATACAAAGGCTTTTTAGAAGCCTCCAATAATGACTCAAACACGTCACCTTCAAAACCATGCATCATCTCATCCACCCCTTCATCCTCGAACTCATCCACATGATCATCCTCAAATCCATCCTCAGCACCATTATCAACAATATGTTCATCATTCTTGTATTCCTCGTCCACATGAATGTCATTGCTTCTATCATCATGGACATCATTCCCAATAACATCCCCACTGTACTCTCCTTCTTCACCGTGCCAAATCCACACATGGTATTTAAGCCTAAACCCACGACAAACTACATGATCTCTAATGATATCAACACTATTGACCACCTTCACATTATTACAATCAACACAAGGACAATAGAGGCACTCGAAACCCATTCTGCGCTGATAAGATGAAGCCCTCTCGCAAAACTCTTGAACCCCATCAAAGAATTCCAATGTATCACGTCTACCATACATCCAGCCACGATCCTTCTCCATTAAGTAAATTGTCTCTAAACATGGCAACATATTACGAATAATATATAATTGCTACATCTATTATATATATAAATCAAATTCAAACACACACCATGCATAAAACATTCATATAGATACAAAAATGCATATATGCTTCTGAAGGGTCCTTATCACTCCAACCTAACCCATCCTTAAACGTTTACTCTCACTAGTGAATGTATGTCGACTTTCCAAATTTAAGGAAAATCCGGCAGCATTTCCCCCCACTTCTCCAAGTACACGACGTAGGTAATTACTTACCCACATATGTACCCAGAGAACATGGTGATCAAGGAAATGGTAAGCCAAGATGTTCCTTAAAATCGAAAAAAGGACATACATTCACCACCTAAGTGAGAGTAAACGTTCAAGAACAGTCCCAACCGGGGACTATTCAAGACTTTCTCCTAATGAGAAAGCCTTGAACGGGTATCTAGGCATATGATGATACATGCAATCAATTAAAAAATAATGGATTAATCACACATCATGATAGAAGTTGCACTAAAGTTATATCATACACCATCTCCACAAAAGTGTGCAAACAAGAACTTATATATAGCACATAAAGTTATATCTATACCTGAGTACCTATAAAGTCTCAACACTCTCCACTAGAAGGTCAATGCCAAGGTCAATGCTTCGCCCAAAAATTCCTCTGATTCTTTTTCATTATAGCCTATATAGAACACAAACAGAAAACCAGATTAAGGAAAAAGATAAGAATGATACTAGTGAACAAGAACAAAGACAGTCAAAGTAAGATACTAGGATGCTTTCCGCCCACTCTCCAAACTGATGATCTTACCCTAGAAGCCCTTGACACCCATTTCTTACCCTGAAATCCATATATAGTGAGAAGCAACTCATAATTAAAAAGCACCAAACAGCAAATTAAATAGATTGAAAGTTGAAAGGAGCATTGCTAGTAATTTTAAATAGATAAAATGTTTTTAAACGAACATGTTGCAGCCTAGTGAAGTCTCAAGGGCAAGGAGGGGGGTAGCAAAGACCTAGGATTGAATCCTCTTTTAATCAGTGTCATTTGTGACTCCCTATATATACTCTTATAGAATTGTAGAGCAAATATACAACATTGAACTCAGTGAGCACCACTTTAGGATTCTTTCTCTTTATTCATATTCTTATAAGTAGGACTGTACAAAGTGCAAACTTATCAACCATTGCAATATATGCGCTTTCTTTTAGTATACAAATTGATTCAAAATACTTACCGCTTACATAATACCAAAGTTCGGAAATGATAACTAGTTAACTACACATAGAAAGCATTCCAAGAACCACAACACCCCTAGGTACGCTACTAAGCTAAATTAAAAAACCAACCAAACAGCAACAACAACTAATAAGGACTTACATTTGTGGAGGGGCAGCCTTGTGCGTTTAATAGAGGGGGAGCCTTGCGTGTTTAATGGAGTAATTAAGTAGCAATTGACAAACCCTAGCAATTACAAGAAACTTACAATTATCAAACTAAAGACCAATTCCTCAAAAAACCCAACAATGGTTTTAATGCAATACATGGAGAAGCTAAGTGAATGGAGGAGAGGCGTTATTACTTACCTTAGGTCGAAGCTGCTTTAATGGAGGGAGGTGGATATGGCGAACTGAAGAGAAGAACGAAGCCTAGAAAGGAATGTTGCGTGCGTGCGGAGGCAAAAGCTTCAATGGAAGCTTCAATGGAGTAAGCGTATGGGAAGAGGGAATGCGCGCGTCGTGGGAATTTCAGAATATGAAAGCAGAATTGAATTGAATGAAATGAAAGTATTGAAGAAGAATAACATTGAAAACCAGTTTTTTTTTTTTATTTGGCACCGGTTCAAACCGGTGCTAAGAACAAAGGTTGGCACCGGTTCAAGTGGAACCGGTGCTAACTCCTCTGATTTCATAATTTTTTTTTTTGAGTTGGCACCGGTTTGAACCGGTGCTAATTAAAGAAGTTGGCACCGGTTTTTTTTTTCTTCATAAATTCATAGTTGGCACCGGTTTTCAAGAACCGGTGCTAAAGGGGGGTGCCTATTTCGTATTTTCTACTAGTGCTTACTAGTCTTATTAAGAAAAGCATCTAACAATAACTTATGTTTAGGAACCATTTTCAAAGCACTTAGTAAAGGAATTCTATTTCCTTGCACCACTTTAAGACTCAAACTACTTCTATTCTCACTTTCTAAGGACTCATCAATAGTGATTCTACTCTAATTAAACACAGCGTTTGCTTTTGGGTTTGGAAAAGGTTGGGCTGGGAGTTTTCTTGTCAAATTATTCTCTAAGTTACTTAAGGAAGTGCATACGTGGCCTAATTACGTGTCAAGTTGTTGAAGATCAGAATCTTTTGTACTTTGATACTTAGTGTTTTGATTATGCACTTGTCCTATTTGAGTCGCCAACTGTTCTACCATACTCTCTAATGACGGACCTTGAGATTGGGGAGAGGGGTTTTGCTGACCAAACTGTCTAGATTGATTATTTTGCAATAATTGCGGTCTATTTCCATACCTAAGATTAGGGTGATCACGCCAACCTTCATTATAAGTATTAGGAAAAGGGTCACATTTCGTCTGAGATTGACTAGGAAAATTATTTAAAGCATTGATATCTTCACTCTGTAAAGTAGGACATTCATCAGTAGCATGAGAAAAACCAGAACAAACACCACATACTCTAGCTGTAGACTCATTACCAGGGACAATTTTAGACACTAAGGTGGTTAGAGTAGCAATTTGTTGAGCATTTTCTTGTAATTGATTTTGGACACCACTTAAATCCACATCATTAACTCTGTTAACATCATTTCTAGTGCCAAATTGTTGAGTATTTTGAGCCATATTAGAAATTAACTTCCTAGCTTCAGCTGGTGTTTTATCTACTAACGCTCCCCCGCTAGATGCATCTATCATACCTCTCTCATTAGGTAACAAACCCTCATAAAGATATTGAATTAGCATTTGCTCACTTATTTGGTGTTGTGGACAAGATGAACAAAGTCTGTTAAAACGTTGCCAGTACTCATATAAAGACTCGTTATTATTTTGTCTAATTCCACAAATTTCCTTTCTAATAGAACCAATACGACTCGCAGGAAAGAATCTTTCAAGAAAACGTTTTTCAATTTCTGCCCAAGAATTAATAGAACTAGGTGAAAGTTGCTCATATAGCCACTCTTTAGCAGGATCTTGCAAAGAAAAAGGAAAAGCATGCAATCTAATATGTTCTTGTTCTACGCCTTCAGGATGCATGGAAGAGCATACAACCTTAAATTCTTTTAAGTGTCTATATAGAATTTAGGGAGAAGATTAAGGAAACCTGAATTCAGCTTTAGAGGATTCTCTAGCTCTGGAAAGACAATGCAAAGAGGATCTTCTCCTGTTCTCGGGGCTCCTAGTTCCTTCAATGTTCGTTCTGCCATGCTCTTGTATTCAATCGGTAATAAATCTTCTATTTCAAGTGTTGGTTCAACACTAAAAATGTGAAGCAGCTTCTCTGGTTCAGCCTCGTTTAGGAAGCCCACGTACGCTTTTATGCGCTGCTTGCTTCTGGATCATACACGTTCATACACCTATAAAGAAAAACATAACTTATGAGAAAGACTTGAAATATTACAGCAGAAGTTTTTTTAAAAAAAAAAACATTACTGGAAGAAATATTAGTTGCTAAGACAAATACAAAATCAGCCAGGTAGTTATCTGTATTATGCTGTCAGAATGTTCACTTAATGCTAGCTAATGCAATTCATGTCTTCAGATTATCATTACACACAGTGGCACAATAGATTAAATTGCTTATGCCAAAAACTTTTAATTTAAAACGGGTTATAGCTAACATACATATCAGACTTAAAAGTTCTGTTATCAGTTTCCTAAAACAAGAGTAATACTTGCAAAAACATAAGCCTAAAAGCAAGCAAAGATTAACTATGACTCACTGGAAGAACATTTTTATTCCAATGATTTAAGCTAGAATTGAGAATAACATATCAGCTAGATTATTCATAAACAAACCGGTTATATATATTCCAATCTTCCTAAATCTCAGTTTTTACCAGTAAAATAAAACTTATTAGTCGATCAAAAATAGATATTCCTTGATAAATTTAATTCATTCAAAATTATAATCTATTTGTGCAAATTACTAGCAACTCTTGAGTGAATTAAATTAGATAAGCAAACCTGAAGCGTAATATACTCTTACTAAAATATAGGCATCACAGCTTATACAAACAAAAATATAGATTGGGTTAAATAAATAAATAAAGCTGTAAAGAAAGGAAGAATCAATCAGAAATATTGAGATTCTTGAAATATTGTTAGAGCCACAAAGTCTAGTTTTAATAGCGTAGACTAGTTTATTGCCTGCAAAAATCTGGTTGTGTAACAAGCAATAAAATTCAACTAAAGCACAAGCTAAACATATGTGGTAATTATTTAATATATTCTAGAAAAGTGTCAAAGTATTAGTTTTACCAATTTACCACATCATATTAAATAGAGTTTAACAGTAGCAAGTCCTACCGAAGACTCAGTGCTCTTGTCACTTGTGATTTCATCATTAGACTCAAACTACCACAATTAAACAAAACCAAACAATAAAACTTAAAATTTCAGACCACAAGCAGGTAATACCATTAAAACCAAACGAATTAAGCAGCAGCTCAGATCAGAAACTTCAGAAAGAACAGATAAAATAGTAAACCATGCTAATTACTGCTTGAAATCAGCAAAAGGGTAAACCATCATAAAATAAAAGAACAGAATTAGGTAATCAAGCAAAACATAATCATCACAAATTAACTAGAAACTTATTCACACAGAACTAAACTTTATAGGCATATATAAATTCCTGACATTTTTTGTGAGAAATGGTATTATACAAGTAACCGTACTAAATAAGATAGCACTCTAAGTCAGCTGATTCTAGCCTATTCACCTATGTTCTAGTATTAAGATAACTCTACGGGTAGTATTAGTTAATAATAGACAATTAACAAAACTTGCATCATCTATATATGAGACTTCAAAATAATTATACAACTATATTCACAGATTAACTAGTATACTTAATCAAGTCCAACCATGAATTTTAAAGATAAAAAACTCCCCGGTAACGGCGCCAAAATTTGATACGTGTTGTTTATCGTATAAAATTAAATATTTATTTTCCTAACTTAACCTTCAAAAATATTAATAACTAGTAAAAGGGTAAGCAAGGGTCGATCCCACGAGGAGATTAATCAACTCTTAAAACTTAAAGTCTAACTAAAAAAAGATAAACGATATACATAATAGAGTATTATTCACACTATGTACATGAGATTGGGGGGTTAAATCGAACGAGTAACTAAGATAGAAAAAAAATACTAATATATTATTTACAATAGACGACAAGTAAACCACCAATCTGATACCAATTCGATCATAGATTAAAACGACATAACTTATTTCCCAACTTCCTTTCATATAGTTTCCTTCAATATTCAACTTAATACTTAGGTAGTCAAATTACCGCCGTGGTCAATTTGACATATATAGCTCACTAGAAATTAGAATCTTGCTAATACACTTTCTACCCCAATAAACTTGATTTATTAGACCAACCCACAAACTCAATAAAACTACGATTAAGCCGCTCAAACTAGTAATATGGAGTCATTCACTCTAGATTATCAATTAACGCCGCATCAAGTAATAATTTAGCATAGTCTAATTACTTTATACTAGCAATCATGTACTATTACAAGTATAAATGAATTAAACGTTCATATAAAAACAAGGAAAGAATCATGTGGATCAATTAAATATCAAACTTGAACACTACCAGAAAACAGCCAATCAACGACGGAAAAAAATCCGTCGGAAAACCCTGAAATTCCGTCGGAAATGCCCCTTTCCGATGGAATTCCGTCGGAAAGCAGCGTCGCATTCCACTTTGTAGGAATTTCGCGATAATTCGTTGGAAATTCCGTCGGAATGGACCTTTCCGACAGATTATGTTCTGTAGGAGTCAAGTTTGACTTGATTGGGAAGTCCGTCGCAAGGTTCCGACAGAAAATTCCGTCGCAACAACCCAAGCTTCCGATTGAATTTTCCGTCGGAATATACCTTTTCCGACGGAAAATTCGGTCGGAATCTACTACCTTCCGACGGAAATTTCCGTCGGAAGCTTTAATAGAAAAAAAAAATAAAACCCCACCCACCACCCCCACCAACACCACCACACCACCACTGACACCACCACAAATGAACCCAAAAAACCGAAATTAACACAAAAAAACCCCAAAAAAAGGAATCAACCCCAGAAAAACGAAAAGCCCTAAAAAAAACCCGAAAATTAACCCCAAAAATAGGAAAATTAACACAACATAACCAAAACATACCACACAAGAAATCAAAACCAGTAGATCTACTAATTAATCAGAATTTCATTAAAAAAATTAGAAAAAACGATAATTAACCCACGAAATTAAATTATATACAATTGTCTAATAAATTATATAAACTAACATTACAATTACATACAATATTAACTAGATCTACACTTGAGAAAGGAGGCTCGCGACGGTGGTTGAAGGCTTGGCTCACGACGGTGGATGTTGGTTGTGGTTGTTGTTGTCGTTGATGGTATGTAGCCGTTGTTGGTGTTAATTGCCTTGAAAAATAGAGGACGGAGAGATAGAAGAGGTGACAAAGAGAAGAAAACAAAAGAGGATAAGAGGAAAAAATAGAAGAAAACAGAGAGGAAGAGAGGAGAAAGAAAGAGAAGAGGAAAGAAGAGAGGAGAGAGAAAGAGAAGAAGAGAGTACAGAGAAATGAGGAAAGAGAGGGGAAAGAGAGGCGGAGTGTAAAGGGGGTAGTTAGGGTTAGGATATTTTTTTATTTTTTTTTAAATCGAAATGCTGTAGGAAATGGTAAAAATTCGTCGGAAATTTCCGACGGAATTAATTCTCTCGGAAATGTATATGTTCCGACGGATTTTTTCCCCTCGGAATTTGCACCTTTCGACGGAATATTCCGTCGAAAAATAATCTCCGAGGGAATATTCCGTCGGAAGCAGTAAATTCCGAGGGAAAAAAATTCCGTCAGAATATTTCCGAGGGATTTTCCGTCGTAACTTACCTTTTCCGACGGAATTTTCTGACAGACCCAAATTCCATCGGAAAACAAATTTTTTTAACGGAATTTATGTCCGCCGAAAAGCGGCCTATTTCTATTAGTGGAATATTGAAATACGAGTATTTTCAGCGCTTAAACGACAAAACATAAATCAGGAAATTAAAGATCAAATTAAATCCAATTCACCAAGTAGAAGAAAACAAATTAATCACAAAATTAAAAGATTAAAAGTAAATTAAGGAGAACTTATGAACTGAGCAAAGAATCAAACATCCGCTGCTCGAACTCGTCGTCAAATTCGTTCCTTCTCCTTCCAATTCTACCCAATCGATCAACCCTGGACCGATTCGTGCTCTACTAAGCCTCGTGAACTTCCTGTATAATTTTTGTGGTAAAACTTGTGTGTTTTTGGGAAGGGTAATTGGGATTTTTATAATTGAAAACAATATAGGTTTTCCGGATTTGAAGGGATAAAATTGTAGAATAGGATAGAACTTCATCTTCTTGTATCTTGCTTGAAATTCGGAGAGGTTGTTGAAGATAAAATGTTGGATTATGGCTGTTTTCGGGGCTTTGGTTTTCACGACATACATGATGTTGAAAATGAAATAGGGTAACAATTCTTTTACTGATGTTTCTTATCTTCAGCCCCCTTTTTTTTTTCTTTCTTTTATTTCTCCTTACTTCATCATCTCATGTGTAGCAACTAGCAAGATTATGCAAGCCAAAATTAGGTCTCCAATTCCTAATTAACAAAATAAACGTATTAAGTCATATTTATAAATAAAATTAATTAAATATAAATATACGACTAAAATAATAAAAGTTAGTTAAATTTCTAAAATAATAAATAAAAGACAATTATTAAACTAATATTAGGAACTAAAAACATGCTATATTATACACTTATCAATTGTGTTTTCTTTATTCTCCTAATCTTTTAGAGCTATTATTCTCCAAGTATTGATTTCTTCTCTCAATTCTCTTATTTTATTATTTTTAATCATGTTTTCTTTATTGAATATCATTCTTGATTTCATGACAATGTGTCCAAGATCTAGCGGAACCTGGATATGGTTAATGCATGATTTAATTCTTTAAATTCTCTAATGATAATTGCAATTGATATG